GACTGTCATTGTTGGGCCAGAAATGGCTAGAGTTAAGTAGACATTAAAATACAGGTGTTTTAAAGCTAAGAGGGAACATTCTCCACCTGGAGCTGAGAAAAAGCACTCACCACAGAGACATGATTATTGTATCTTTTTCCCGCAAAAACTGTAGATGGAAAGGTCGTTACTTTATTGGAGTACTTATTTTATTAGTGTCTGTTTTAATAGTCATTTAAAATTTTTGTTCAAAGTAACTAGAAGTGTCCCTTCTTCTCCAGAGATAATTTATCTGTCATAGGTTGGTAATGAGTCACTTCACATGTTTGTTTCCCTGTATTATCTGGCCAGGCCCTCTCCTCTCTTTATTCTGTCCTCCCTCCTCTCCTTGACTCTCAGAGGGCTGAAATATTTGCATCAGTTAACTTTTTGTACTCTTTCCTCTTGATAAACATTGTGTTTTTCTCTTTAGCTTATGACTGAGTTTCATAGCTAAGTGTTTTATGGAAGTGTAGGGAAGAGAAATGTCACGTAAAAATGGAATGAGTTGTGAAAACAGGCAGTTCCATCTCTCCCAAGATAGGCAGATCTTTAAATGGCCTCCCTGAAAGTAGAGTGCCAAGGGCATATTCTGATTTTATAGCACAAGATTCAGGGTATTGAATGAAATACAGTTATAATATGATTGGAAATGAAATGCATCTCTGAAAGTCTTTAAATGTCCAAAGGCATGAAGATATATTTTACTATTTCATGATTATTCATTTTACTATTTCTCTTTCCAGTTATTCACCATGGCTTGTATGTGAAACTTGTGGTAGAATGAAACTAAGTGTTATTCCTGCTTTCAAAAAGTTCAGTTAACACATTCAAAACTATTGTCATTTTTCTCATGGAAGATGGCAATTGTTGGAGTGAGCATATATAAACTTTCTTTCCCAGAGTGGACCAGGTGGAAAATGCTTATTTTGTTTTTTTTTTCTTATAAGAATAAAAGCCTTTCAACAGAACATGTTGATTATGCCATCTGGCACATAATTTCTATGCTTAAATTAAGCTGAGAAATCAATTCAGTGTTGAAAGATATTATCCGTTTAACATTTTTTCACCTCCAAGCAATTCGAGCAAGTAGGGCAAAAAATATGTTGTTTTCATTTCTAAGTATGTGAAATATATAGGTTTTGAATATTTTCTCCCGCATAGAGAGAATTATAATTTATAAGTGGATAGCTAACCTACTGGGATTTTTCATCCTGCAGTTATGCCAAAACTGTACTGTATTACCTGCACCTACCCAGAAAGATCACGTGATTTTCAGCTGGACATTAGCATCAGTTAATGGTGGTGTAATTCACTGCACATGAAGACTTATCCTAAGGAGTCATTTACATTTTGTTTAGGCTTTTCATTGTTAGTTTATGAATTCCAGTTGTTGCCAACAGTAAAGGCACAAATAAACAACTATAATATACAACTAGGCTGCACCTAGGGCTACCTAGCAAAGTTAAGTAACTAACAGGTGGTGGGAAATCCCAAATAAAGAGTGAAAAATGGCTACTTTTTAACTGGGGAAAGGATGGTTCCTTTAGCAGGAGCCCTTTGTCAGTTTCTTCTTTCTCTTCCCCTTCCTGCAAGTGAACTGTTAAGTCAATGCTCAGCACTTAAGAACTTCCCAGTGAATAGTCTTTGACCAGCTACTAAGAGTGGAGTTGAGCAATGAACAAGCAGGACCTGAAAGCTCTAACATTTGCAACAAATTGCAAGAGGAGCTTCAACTGAAGATAAAGATTCATGTGGTAAAAAAAATGGGGAAAAGGTAACAATTACTTAGAATTTTTACCTCTAAAAACCAAAATCTGTCAAAGGGAGAAATAAAGTTTAAAACCCGTTTATTGCTTACAAACTGCAGTCCAGGGCCATCTCTCTCCTCTGCTCTGGAAGAAGCCAACAAGCAAGCCAGCCCCTCCCCTTAACCTTTCAGATTCAGACACGCCCTCGGTTGCCCAGGTAATTACCCATTGACATGGAGATGAACTTCTTTCCACCCCTGAGGATATGCAAATGTGCTAAAGCCAGGTGAGATATTCTGGAACCGTTACAATTTTACCGGCTATCATCTTTAACAGAATGATTAAATTTATGTTTTGCTGTTTAAGGAGAATTAATTAAGAAAGAAAGAATGGGAACTTCACGTTCAGTGGGTGGAGGACTCATCATACAGGTTTAACTGTCTGGAGTCATTATCTATCCCAAGTCTTTCAGGCCTACCTACCTGTCAAGGTCTTGGCACACCTGTCAGCTGCATGATGCACTCAGGAAAAAAGAAAACTTAAGTGCTTTCATAACAAAGGAAATTTATGAAGTAACTGTAAGCACTGCAAATGGAGTTTTTAAAAAAGTCGATTCTAGCTCTAGTCAGCAATAGATTCACAATATATTTGTAAAATGTTAGGCTGGAGAAAGGAAAAACAAGGACATGCAAACAGAACAGAGAGATGCCGTAGGGGGAGAACAGACCAGACCCCAAAGTCCGTGCCGTATATGGAAAGGGGACAGCTCTCCCTGAATTCCATCCTGATGTGCCAACTAAGACATGGATGTCAGCCTCCTCCCTCTTGGAAGGAAAAAAAGTTTCTAGTTGTCTATTATGTCACCTTTAGCCAATCATACCTCTCCACACTCCCTAAGATAGCTTGCCCACTCCTCCCCCTCCTAATCCCTTATAAGCCCCCCACCTCCCCAACCAGGTGTGACTTCTCTGGCCTGTGACAAGAAGGCCACAGAACCTCACCCGGGGTATTTAAATAAATTACCTGGCCCTTTGTTGCCTCTCTTTGCCTGCTAATTTCGGCTAGAATTTATCTTACATAAAATAGTGCAATTTTTGCTACAAGGACTTTTCATGATAATAACAATAAAATAATGATATACTTTCCATGGCACTTAACAGTTTTCAAAGCACACTCATGTGAATTATATATGCTCTGCTCCTCATTAACCTGTTATAGGCTAATACAGTAGAAAGACAGCAGACACCCACGGTTTGGGAGCTCAGGAAGTTGAAGTCCTGTGTCCACTGTGGAAAAATGGCATATCATACTTGGCACGTATGCTTAGGAGATGCTCTCTCACTGTGGTGCTATTATAAAATCATGACTGATTTTTTTGCATTTATAAAAACAAGGGCAGTGTATCCTGTAGTCTGGTAGTTGAGAGTTCTCTCAGGAGCAGCTCGGTGCCATCACTTGAGACTGAGACATAAGAACCAGACAGCAGTTGGACAAAAGCCCCTCTCAAGCCTCACACTGCTGCTCTCCAGGCAAGCTTCTTCTGACTCTAGAACAGTCCTGCTGAACAGAACTCTGTATGTCATGGGAACTAGACACCTTACCGTGGCCCTCAACAAATGAGAGACAAACACGGAAGAGAGAGTGGGAAGGAGGGAGAGAGAATGGCCAGGATGGAATTAGAAAAGATGAAAGGAACTTTGGCAAGAACAAGCACAACTTATGCTCCTGTGAGAACCCACCAGCTGACGAAGCACTTTGGAATAATTAGTGTGTAAGTGCACCTAGGAAAGAACTTCTTTGATTCCTTAGCTTTCAGATCCCTTAGCAGTGAATCCACAGGTCCCATTTGTGGGAAGAAGGAAGCTAATGTAGTGATTAATAAGAGCAAAGTTCCAGAAGAACCCACCTAATTACTTGAGAGATGCAAAGCGACCCACCTCGGCTGCGCACGCCTAGCCCTGCCTCTCGAGTGTTCAGTGTCTTTGGAGCCTCTGTGGGTTTCTCCAACTTTTCCGTTTGTTTAAGAAAGTAATTTAAAAAGTGAACTAGAAGACTAGTAAGTTCAAACTCAATCTGTTTCATCTCTTCACCATGGTTTACAGTCCTAACAATATGTTTTGGCTTTCCTGACTCTTTTGTTAACTGCCTGACAGTACAAGATACAAAAAATGATAGAAAATGAATTGTCCACATCTTCAAGGCTGGGGAAAGGCATGAGAAGAAATTTTAAGACAATTCTGTCTCTTGGACAATTTGAACTTCCTACCTTTGAATATGAAATGTACATTTTATATACACTTTCCATGGTAATTCACAGGTGTTAAATTAGGAACTGGAGTATAGTACAGACAAGGGGATAATCTATTACAACAGGTCAGAGTTCAAACAAAGTTTATTTCCTTTTTTTATATTATCATCTGCATGTCTGCAAAATTCCATGCAAATCATTCTTAATTGAAATGTTTTGGCTCTTTCATAAAATAATCTGACCATGGTATTTCTACATTTTAGCTGTAAAGTTCTCCATAAATAGGGCACTTATTTCATTTATTAATATGTGGAATGATTCACAGGTGTTAAATTCACAGGTGTGCAAGAGTCCACAAGAGGAAATGCTTATTCCAGATAGAGAAATCCAGCTTTTTACCAGTTCCCAAGAGCTTTGCTGGTACCTGTGTGGAATTCAGATGTGGGGGCATGTATAGGAAGACAGTATTCCCTAATGTTTTCCTGCCACAAGTCTAGGTTAACTTTGGCCCAGCTCTGCAGATCTACAAATTGCCAAACTAAGTGAACACTTCACAAGAACTCTAAGGCTGAGTCCAAAGATTTTGTTGGTAAACATAGTAATCTGATCCTATGCTTCAGTGAGCCTGGGCTTGGCTCTGTCTCCAAATTTACTCCTTCACATTCATTTGGGCAAATGGGTGAGGAGAGGCTGCTGAGTGACAAGCATACCCTTTTAAACCATCATAGTTTCAGTGGGTAAAAGAAAAGGAAGGATGAAGCTGGGTGGTTGTTCTCAGATGGCGGTTGGTTAGGCCAGTCACCTAAGTATCAAGTCAGGAACCACAGCAAAGTCCCACGGTTGGTGTTACTTAGTGAGAGGTGGAAACTTAAAGGACTTCCCAGGGTTTGTTGGGAGCCTTGGGGGTGGTGGCACAGAGATTTCTTGGAAGGCCTCTTCTGAGAAGTTTTTATAAGCATATGTGTATTTGTCTTTGTTTTCACAGGAGAATCACATCCTTTGGACCATCTGTCCATCTTACACAGGTAGAACATGTCATAGGCTCTGTCTCCCAACAGTAAGTTTTCCTTTATTGGGGCTTTTGCTATAGTATGGACTTGTGACTAAGGGACATCAGTTTTATGTTATTTGGATTTAATATACTCAAACTCATTTCTTTTCCACATTCCAGGAGGATTTTTTTCCCTGAAGGAAAAGGAGGGACAGGAAAGCAAGTTCTAGTGTTTTTATTCAAACATAATCCCTAATATCCTTTTTGGGGGAACTCCCCCAAAGCACAGTTGTTTTTAAAAGGAAAATATCAGTTAAGACATACCATGTCACTAAAGGGACCTTTAAAAAGCCATTTGGCCTGCTAGTAGGACCACACTCAAAGCAGAGATCACAATCTATCCCTTTCTTTAAAATCTCTGAAGTGTTTTTGAATCAGTTAACAATAATAAACGAGATAAGGGAATCCAGGTGGCATGGCCACGTGGGCACCAGCAGCAGTTCCTCTGTGTGGTAGGTGTCAGCCAATTTGCCGAACAAAGCTGACCAAGTTTTATAAGTATTTTAAGAAGCAAAATTATGTACCTTTCAGGACATGTGCTTCTATTTATTCTTTGCAGCATGCTGGGGCACCTGTGTTAGTTTAATGCCACTGCATGCAGATTCTTTGACAAGTAGAATTTGGGTATGTTCCAGCTGTTATTTCACCTGGGGAGCACCAGAGCAAAAACCTCCTGGAACTTTCAATCTGAAAAATTAAAATTATTTGGAAAATACCACCACATCGCAACACATTAATTCTTGTTGATTAAATGTCCAATTAAAAAAACCGGTCCTTTGCAATAGTAGTAACTAAAAATGAACAAACATAAGGTTAACATAGGGCTGGTAGTGGTTACTGTGAGAAGACAAAATAAGAACTGTATGTTTCTGTGAATTATATGGTTTACAGATAACGGTCATTATTTATCATCCACCACGTACTGTGCTAAGTCCCACACATACATTATGCCACTGAGTGCTTCTAACAACCCTATGAGGAAGCTGTTGGCATCCTCTTCATCTAGACAAAGAAATATAAACTTTAAAAGGTAAGGTAACTTTGCAAAACATCTGCCAGGCAATAAAGCAGGTGATAGACTCAAACCTGAGCAGTCTGATTTGAGAACCTAAAATTGAACCACTGTTTGTTCCAGTGTCTCACAAAGGCTGGGAACCAGAACTCCCCTTGGGAAATACTTTCAGATAGCAAATTAAGGCACTTTAAACTTTTCTTAATATTTGTGTATGTATGTTTGATGTGTATCACAGAAGATAGAACTAACTAGCCAATCCATCTACTTTCTCCACCTCTACCATTGCTACTGCGCTGCTTCCCCTATCCTTCTAAGTGGTCTCCAGAATTGCTACCTGTCTTGCCAGTGGGTTTCAGTCCTAGGCAAGTTCATTCAATTCAGTGAGACCAAGAAATGAGAGTAGAATGTTCTTAGAGTGAAAGGGTTTACAGCCAGCTTTATTTTCATGGTGGCAGGTCAAGTGCTAGAATCCTGTCCATCTCAGAGCAAGTCTGCCTGCAGCAAGCTGGCCTCTGCCTCTGGGCTCCTCTGCCTTTGTAGCCATCTCAGTCTCTGTCCTCAATGCTGCCACCACTCCAGCCTCTGCTCTCCTGCAGCCTTGCAGCCCTGCAGCCATGAAGCAGTCCAGAGCACTAGGTGCAGCTCTTTAGATAGAGTCAGTAATAAGGTATAGCTCACACATATGCAGTGAGAAAGCTGACCAGGGTCAGGTGAGAATCCTGGCCATAGGTACTTTCATTTTCTCTACACTATCTTAAGGCTAGTTCTTCACATGGAAGCCTGTGTGATGATTATGGACACTTCATCTCACTCCCCTGCTGGAAACTACAATGCTTTGTCATTGCTCTCAGAAGGTCTCCTGTCTTGCCAATGGGTTTCAGGCCCAGAAAAATTCACTATGGATTCATGAAACCAAAAATATGACAGTGGAATGTTCTTCAGGTGAAAGGGTTATACCCAACTTTATTCCCACAGTGACAGGGCAATCACTAGAATCCTGTCCACTCAGAGCGAGTCTGCATATAGCAAGCTGGTCTCTGCCTCTGGGCCTCTCTGCCCGCCCAAGCTGTCTCAGTCTCTGTCCTTGGCACTGCCACCATGCCAGCCTCTGCTCTCCTGCAGCCATGCAGTCAAGATCACTGGGCAGAGCTCTTTCTATAGAGTCAATAACAACATATTGCCCACATGTGTGCAGTGAGCAAGCCAACCAGGGCCAGGTGAGAATCCTGGCCATGAGAACCTTCACTTTCTCCACAGTTCCAGATTCCTTACCAGGACCTAAGTGATCCTACCTCATCTGGTCCCTGCCTGACTCTGAAGCCTCATTTCTGGGCCTCCCCTTCTTCTTCTTCCCTTTGTTCCAACCACACCAGCCTTCTCAGTCTTCCTGGGTATGGCAGGTGGGCTCACTCTCATATTGGAGCATGCACCCTTCTGTTCCACTGCCAAGGCCTTCCTAGGCTTGCATTCAAGTCTCTCCAGTCAGGTATCACTCCTTCAGAGGGCCACTCTTCTAAATTCATCTCCTTTTTCTCTCCTTACCTTCCTCTGGTTTCCTTTATACCACTTAGCTAATGCTGCTGTCTTGACAATGGGTTTCAGCCCCAGACAAGTTCACTGTGGATTCAATGTGACCAAAGAAATGACAGTAGAATGTTCTTGGAGTGAAAGGGTTATACCCAACTTTATTTCCACAGTGGCAGGTCAATCACTAAAATTCCATCCACTCAGAGCGAGTCTGCACACAGCAAGCTGGTATCTGCCTCTGGGCCTCTGTCCTCTGCTCTGCTCTCCTGCAGCCTTGCAGCTGTACCTCCATGTTGCCCAAAACACTGGGCAGAGCTCTTTATATAGAGTCAATAGCCATGTATTGCCCACATGTGTGTAGTGAGTTAGCCAACCAGGGCCAGGTGAGAATCCTGGCCACAGGAACTTCATTTTATCCACAGTGCATTTGTAGAATGCCCTGCTATTTATTTGTTTATTGATTATCCTCTCATTAGAACATAGGCTCCATATGGGAGAGGGTCTTACCCTATATTAGTCACAACTGTATTTCCAGCACTCAAATATGTGTCACAAACTACATGCTTAAGAAGTATTTGTTAAATGAGTCTGTGAATCAAACGGATGATTTCATAGCTACTATTGCTTGGAATGAAGATTGTGGGGAAAATGGAAGTTGCTATGGCCAGAATCCTCACCTGAACCTAAACTGCTTGATGATGTCACTGGCCTGCTGCTAGGCTACTGCTCCCACACCCACAGGCAATAAGCTATTATTGACTGAGTCACTATATAAGGAGCTCTGCCTAGTGTTCTGGGTGGAGGCAGAGACGGAGGAGGAATGCAGACAGACCTGCAGACTCTTGGATGCAGATGTAATTCTAGTGCTTGACCTATTGCTGGGAAAACAAGTTGGGTAATAAACACCTTCACCCCAAGAAGGTTCCATTGTCATTCCTTGGTCTCACTGAATCTGTAGCAAACTTACCTGGGGCTGAAACCCACTGGCAAGACAGTCAGCCATGAAAATTGAGTTATGGGCCAAAGCCAGAGTGCAAAGAGAGAATTTTCAGTGGGACATGTTCCACCTAACTCTCTTTCTTCAAAAGTAGCCCATAGAGGAAAGACATACAAATTACAATTTGCTCTTCATGATGAGATTGCATTAGGATTTTATAATTGAGAATGTAAAGGAAGGAAGGTTAATGCTAAAAATTAAATTGTGTGACTCTTTTGGGAATTTTGAGCTGATTTATGAATATGGAGCTTGTTCTAAATCAGTAGTAGCTGTAAGAGGTTGAAATCTCCTGTCTTAGTGAGTGTTTCAAACCCAGTGAGGTTTGTTGCATACTCTTTGCTCATTTGCTGTTCACTTTCATCATTGCCACAGCATGCTTTAGCCTCTCTCAATCATGATTCTAATCACCTTTCATCACTTCTGTAGTGAATATGTACCACTAAAAATACCAATAATTAAATCTTTCACCAGAAGAAATGAACAGAACTTGGAGGTTTAAGAATTTTAAATGGGGAGAAAAAACAGGTATGGAAAGTAACCTAAGAATGGCATCGGCTAACTGAGTGCTTGACTCATTCCCAGCATTGGGTTTCTTCTTTGGGGAGTTGGGGTTGAAACATTGTTTGGAGGGTTTTTGGCAAGACCTGTTGGAAAAAGGTTGTTTTTATAAAATTTGTTTGATTCAAAAGTGGGCAAAGGGATAAAAGTCTCCGAATGAGTGTACACCACTCTATAATTCTTATTTAGCAGTGAGGCACAGAAGTCAGAGGGCTGCTGAAGAAAGTGCTCCTAAATGACTGCACTGGCAGACGCTAATAGCAACAGTAACTAAAAGATGACCCACTCTCAAAGCCTCTTAGAAGTAATTTCTCCTTTCATCATTATTTTAAATATGTGAACATAGGTGGACCTTTCATTCATTTAAGAATATATAATGTGTATCTACTATATGCTGGATACTCTTCTAGGTGCTGGAGATACAGTAGGAACAACATGAAAAAAAAGCCCCTCTACCTACAGGGCTTACATTCTAATGGAAGAGATAAAAAATAAAAAACATAAAAAAATAGCATGTTAGATGTGTCAGATACTATGGAGAAAAAAGAAGGAGTGAGGATGTTAAGTCATAGGCTGTAAGAAGAGACAAAGGAGGTCACTATACAATGACAAAATGTCAACCCAACAAGAGACTATAACATTTGTAAATATCTATGCAGCCAATATAGGAGCACCTAAATATGTAAAGCAAGTATTAATAGACCTGATGGGAGGAATAGGTAACAATATTATAACAGCAGGGGGTTCAATATCCCACTTTCAGCAATTGATAGATAATTCAGACAGAAAATCAATAAAGAACATCGGACTTAAATTACATATGAGGTCAGATGGACTTGACAGATATTTACAAAATATTCCATCCAACAGGAGCAAGATATGAATACATTCTTAAGCACACCCAGAACA